TCTATTGGGACTGAAACAGTAGGGACTGACATGTGCCTACTATGACCTCGCTGGAGGGCAATCCGGATTGCAGAGATATGGCCCTTAAGGCAATATCTCTGCAAAATCTGAATTGAAAAGAAAAAATTGAGAGAAAATGCAAAAGGGAAATGGTCGATTTTCTTTTGGGTCACGGATCTGAGATTTAGATCCATGAAGGAGGGAATATGGCCATTTTGTTTTAGGCCTACTCAAATGGCCAACTCCGGAATGAGTTGGCAGCCCAAAATAGAAAGAAACAAAAAAGAAAAAATGACAAAATTGTGCATTCGGCCCAAACGGAGGGTCAGATGCACAAAAAATTGAAAAAGTGAGCTTAGAGGCTCGAATTTGAAGCAAGGACTACTTGGGGGTGACACATAATATTATTGGCATTGGATCTCAGCTAGATCCAAGGCTGAGATAGCATCGAGGCATGGGAAAATACTTCGTCTTAGCAAAAATGGGGTAGAAACTGAAAAAATCAAGAAAAAGGTCTATTAGAGTCTGATTAGACCTTTTTTCTCAAGTGGGGCTGTCCCTTGGGCATTTGGACTCAAGGGGGCAACATTTTGGAAATGAAAAAGAGGCTGAAGGAGGCGAAGATGCAATCCAAGTTAGTGCCAACCACTCGGACTGCATGTACTTAGCCAAAATAAGGTTCACGTACCCCCGAAGGTGTCTAGTGGTGAGTTTTTGCCTTGGGGGTACCTCGGTTCACTTGGAGGCACATGGGAAGGCTCATGGGCTGACTGACACTTTGGTTTCAGCCTACATAAGCTGAGGGAGCAGCCCGTTACACTCACATTTCCATGAGGTGTGCACATGCTGCCCAAGTGAACTCGTAGGAACACTTCTCTCACTTGGAGTGAGGAGAGGGGAACCCCTCCCAGTTTGGGAGCTTAGAGGAGACTGTGGACTAGTGTGAGGAGCTCTACAGGCTGGTGGTGGTGAGGCTGGCCTAGGAAGATGATCCGCCATAGCCCCCAAACTGTGAGGAAGAAGGAAAGGCTAGAGGGAGTCTCATTAGCAACATGTTATTCGTTAAAATAGGACATCATATCATGTCATCTTTCTAACGAATTTATTTATTAATGCGGAAGTGTGTTGAGATCCATACTTCTTAAACTTTATAAATAAGATGATTAATGTACTCGGATTGAATTGGATAGTATAATTTTTTAGGTTATCCAAAAGTTGTACAAGCAGGTTCATCCTCTCGCCTGAGATGGTTGTTTGGATGTTTGATGAGATCCAGACTTGGTTAGAACACTTAGTGTAATGACAGGCACGCCCATCTGGGACCCCTGACAGTATGCGAAAGCAGTGAATCCCCTTCGACGGAGGCCAAGCGAGGCCGAATCCGCAGACGTGGCCAGTCCGCTGACCCCGCGGACGCGCGGCTTTGCCGCCACGTGGCGGCCAGAGGGGAAGGGGGTTGGGGATTCGGGAAGCACCATGGGGCGGCGCAACCCCGGCCCCACCCCCTCACACAAAAAAAAAAGAAAAAAAATAATTTTTGATTGGGGGGGGTGGACTGTGGACGAGGAGAAACGAAAAAAAAAAAATGAACGCGTTTTTTTTTTTTTTCGTTGATTGATTGATTCATTTATTATTCGATTTTGCTTTTTTTTTTTTTTGTTGGTTGATTGATTGATTGATTGGTGGGAGAGGGGTCGCCCCACCCCGTCCTTGATTGATTGATTGATTGATTGATTG